GGATGTGACAAGCTGAATGATATTGTGGGTAATACTTGTGGTGTAATATAAGAAGATCTCTAAAAGCTAAGAGTCCCTCAGCAACAACTCTAGCCACAACAGTTGGGCAACACCGCACTGACAGCTGAACTGTAAATGAAAAATGTGTGAAATGCAGACGACCATCACAGCACTCTGCCTGAAAACACGACTCCTGCTGTGTCAGGCTTGTGAATGGTTTTTGACAGAAGCTGGCAGCACGCGCGCTCTATCATGTTACAAAGTAAACCACGTTTAAGGAATCACAATTTCTCAGGTGTTTCTCCACTCAATCAAATCCCGGTTAACACCACTGCAAATTCCTCCTGGCTGCTCTTAAGCGTGAGTGATTGCAAGTGATTGCAAATTTCATGTTATCTCTCACCTAGACTGTTGGCTTTCTAATTTTTTTTCTCCCACGCGATCACCCCAAGGCCAATGACATCAGATGAAGGTTTAACAGCGTGCAGTTTTGCTCATTTCTGTATTTTGATGTGAGTGCATCAGTCAGGAAAGGACATAAAACCATTGCCCGGGCAAGAGTAAGCTGATATGGTGAGTGCGGGCTAAAAAGAAAATGAAATGAACTGAGAAAAAAAACATTAAATGTAATTCACAAAGGCCAAACACAATTTATTTAATATGATTATTACACAGTAAATCAAATATGTGCAGAACACAATATGAAAAGAAATCAATTTACAAAAAAAACTTGTATTTGTAGAAAAATTCTGGCCATATTGGAAATCAGAAACAGCCCTCTGTTCCCTCTTTCATGTAATCCATCAGCTAGGCGTGCTTTGATGTGGCCACTTAGCACAAGAAGATACTGCTGTCAGCCACATCAGTCTAAACAAATACCTCAGTGCTCCCCAAAATACACAGCATGCAGCAGTTTCTGTTCAAGCCCAACATCTCCACAAGCTCTCACCAAGCAATCTGCACAACCGAGAGATGTTTGTTCTCTTTTGGACTTCATAAAGAAACGGAAATAGTCCGCTCAAACTCCGAGAAATAAATAACGCTAACAAAATTGTTTAATCCTGATAAAACTGTGGCCTCAAAGGCCGAGACAAATTAAAAAGACATTTTCTCTATTTATGTGACCAGATAGAGCAATTCGTATCTGATTTGGTGGTCCATTTCCCCCCTTGTTGAATTCTTCTATTCCTTTGCATGTGTTCCCACTGGATTTTCTTTGCTTTGGAGTCTTTGGTGGTTGCCTGGATATAAACTCTCATGTCACTGTGAATATGAAATGTCGTCAGTCACTATGCTGCTTGTTTCAAAGAGAAAAATGATCTTACTGTTTAGACCTCAACGCATGAAAGGTTCCTATTAAAATTTTTTTAAGAGAAATACATAATAGGGTCCTTTTTGTCTTCATGAGAATTTTGTTTCTTGGATGTCACATTTATCTCAAAAAGGGTGAGAGAAATCAGTCACTGCTGAAATAAAAATAGTGAAGTCAGAGGTTCATAGCAGAGCACTGGACGCAGAATAAAAGAACAAAAACCGTTTTCACTCTGCTCGCGGAGTGGAGTTCACGACACAAACTGCTCCGCAAGTGATGATATTTCACAACGAGGAGCAAGACCTCTCCGAGCTGTAGACACGCAGTAGACCCGCTCACAGCTGGTCACCGTGTCGAGGTCACAATGTGAACAACTGCAGTATAATCTTCAAAAAGCCCCTGGATAAACAGTGGAAACATTTTCACAACCTCCTCTAACCTTTGGGATCAGCTGGAGTCTAACTGACCACGTTTCCAGAAAGGGGCCTAACAGGGGTCGGTGTGAGGTCTGCGAATGTGCGCGCTCCTGTGTGAGAGTGTGTCTTTTTAATATTTGTGTGACTGTGCTGATTTGCATGAGCTAGAATGATCATAGAAGAGTGTACATCCCAGGCTGATGCTTAATCTTTACATTAGAGTACATTTATTTTCACATCTGTTGAACAAATTACAATGAAATTTGTAGCAGTCCTGGTGGTTCCTGCATAATTAACACACATGACTATGATATAATTCAGTACAATTATAAAATAAAACAGCTGAGTTTTATTGCACTTGGTTACACTGCTCACTGGAATGTTGACTTTGTAATGCAAGAGTGAGTCCTGTTGTGCTGCTTAGTCAGTAAGTAAGTATTAACATATAAGTACTAAGTATTTAGCAGAGTTCAGGTTTCATAGGTCTCTCTGCAAAGAAGTTGTTTTTAAATTGGTTGATTTCAAAAGTATTTTGCCTTAAAAAGTAAACACCGTCATACATCCAGTGACTTTATCCTGTGACGTCAGTACGTTATTACAGTTTTCGCTTAACTGGCAAACAGACAAGCTCGGTGTGACTGCTGACCTGTATGTGAAATAATGCAAAAGCTAAATTAAGCTTTGAATTAATTCTTTGCTCGTTCCTGTTCTAATTATGTCATAGCACCTTTATCATCAGTCGGTTGGTGGCTGATTTATAGCCGGTCCACTAGGGTTTTTCTTTTGCTTTGTAAATCCGGTTGAAATTGGTGCCAAATTTAAATAGAAATCTGGTTGAGAAATTCTCTTGCCTGTAAGTCAGAGAGACTGCGTAGATCATTGTAACAACAAGTATAACAATCGATTACACCAAAAATCTCAATCAGTTACGATCCAAACCGCTACTATGAATAGCAATCATTAAGTCTTAAAATGCACGAAACCTGCTCTCGTGAGCTCAGATTTGGCTTTAAAAAAAATAAAAATCTGATAATTAAATATCGTTAAGGTCATTATGGAGTCGTTAATGAACAGTTTCTTCCTTGTTAGACGGCTGGGCTGTGTTTATTTGAACTTCCAGCTCTGTCAGTTACAGCTTGACAAGCAGAGACCATTTTGGCTCGCTCTTATGAAAGTTGAAATGTTGCCCTGTTACACACACGTGTTTGCCTTTGGTAGTTCTTTAAATAATGTTGATAGCAGCAAATGACCATGCCTTTTAAATTAAGTAAACTTTGTGCTTTTTTTCCCTTCTTTTTTTGCTTTCAGTGCCAGATCATAAAACTCCCCCTTTGCACTTAAAACATAATTCATAAAGATGTTGGGCTGAAATCCAAGGGACACAGGGAGGGAAACAGCAGAGAGGGGGGGAAAAGCAGAAAAAAAATAAAAATTACACATTAACAAGACACCAAAAAAGACAAGGTGTTGAGTGAGAGAGTAAAATAATAAAATGCAGCTTTAAGGGCAGCAGGTTAACGTTAGCCTGACACAAGCTCAGGTCCTGTTTTTCTCCATCTCCCTGCATTACTGCCAACTGTTGTTGCTGCAATTTAAGCCTTTTGTTGCAGCCAGGCTTTTTCACTCACAGGCAGGCGGGCTACTTCTGGTAACTGGCGCAGGGGCCATAAAAGAGCCCTGTGCTTTTGGTTTAGACAAACCACATCAAATGGAAGGAGGAAGGTTTGAACAGGTGGACCAGCCTGTAGCGCAGCACAGACAGATCCCTTTTTTTTTAATGGATCACAGCTCAGAAATGTCAGCTGGAACATTTTGAACCTGATAGATCAGCGCTGTGTTGCAGCACATGCCTGTGTGAGTAATGGACTTCACACAGCAAGCCTGCATGACGCACCGTGGAGCTGCGAAACTCTTCTCAAAGTTCTTGAAATCGACCACATGAGGGATAAATGCATCAGCCACAACATTTAACACGAGGCCACAAGTCATTAAAAAAATCACAAACATTCTCCAAATCCTTGTCCAGTGACAACAAAGACAAACTAGGCGACGCAGCGTAGTCAGTGAAAGACATATTCTTTATATAGATTTTGTATCATTCTGAGCTGGAGGCTCACATATCCCCTTAATCTCCTCAGGCCTGACCTTCATAAAACTCAAAAGCCTGCAGGAAGTTGCAAATCTCCGTCTGAGTACAAGAGAAGAGGGTTAAGGGCAGTGGAGGGTCGTCTGGTAAAAAGGCAGCTACTGTTCGAGGCAGTTGAGATACACTGAATATTTTTTAAGTGTCTCACAACCAGATTTTGGGGACACGTGAAAATTTGCATTTAAATTTTTTGTTCATTTACCACTAAAGATCAGGTGAATATCCAAGTCTCTTTTCTGTCTAAAGCATTCCTGCAACCAGCCTCCACTTCCTACTACCCCCCTCAGCTAATCACCTCATCTCCTGATTACTTTATGGCCCGCTGTAACTGGCTTTAGGATGAGAGAAGGAAGGGCTGGTAACCACAGCTTAAATCAGTAATTGGTTCAGGCTTGAAAACTGATACAAACGCGTTGACCTCTTGCCAGTCTGGCAGGCAGAAAGCCTTGCTCCGTCCAGCCTGCCTGTGCTCCTCTGGTCAGAAAAACAAACATAGAGCGCAGAAATGTTTTTTCCTGGCTAACACCTTGGTCCCAGAGCATACAGCCCACAAGCTAACCAGGGGTAAGAGGCCGGGCTGACTGTCACACAGTGAAGGAAAAAGAAAGGGAGGGGGACAAGACTGGGGTTCACTTGTGGGAAAATATGAAATAAAAAAAAAACAGTGCAGGAGACCCTGAAATTAACAAAAATATAGATATGTTATAGCAGCATTAAGAGGCGTGCAGATAAAAATGCATCTCCCCACACTTTAAAGTGATAGTAATCGTGTCAAACACCTATTTTTCTGCTTTTTGATGCAGTCTCTCCATTACAACATTAACACTTGCATGAAGAGTGACGGGAAACTTTGAGCTATATTCCAAAGTAATTACTTTATCATTAAAGTCATTTAAGTTGTCAGACATACATATGCATGTAAATGTAATGTAATGAAAAACTTTTACTTTTAGAGACAGACAGAATAAAAAGTAAATAAATCATCAAAGGAAACTGGAACCTGTTCAGGGTCCTGTTCCAGACTATAAATAGAAAAATATGTGGTTGTAAGAATGTAACTCTATCTGAGTAAATGACCCACACAAAAGTTGACTCCCTATTTGTCTCCCTGTCCCTGCTCCACCAGGTGTTTTGGAGATCAAATCAGTGGATGTGGGTGTGGTGGCCATCAAGGGCCTCAAAAGTAACCACTACCTGGCAATCAAGAAGAATGGCGTTCTGTATGGAGCGGTAAGTTTTAACGCTGTTTAACTCTCTGACCTGTCATTTTTATTTAATATGCATTATTCTCTAAGTCTAAGAGGATAGCTTTATTCTCAGTCCAAAAACATCCCTATTTATCTTATACTAGGCCTTGGTGATTGATTGTTCCTAACAAACAGAGGGTTTAAACAGCAGGTGGGTGGAGATGGGTGAGAAGACCCTTTTAATATACCCTCTGAAACTGAGTATTGTACAAAGAGTCCTATGCAGCTCTGTAGTCCAGTGGGTGCCTCTCTTTTCAGAGAAGCTCCACATTCTTCTTTGAATAATGAAGCTAATATCTTGGTTTGGATTAAATTCTTAACCACAGTTTCTCAAGAACTCAATCACTTTAACCTATTTAAGCTTGAGAGCTTAAATAATAAACTTGTTGAACAGATTACTTGCACAAACATCAAATTTATTAATTGAAATTTTTGGTCACCCTTAGTCTATGACAGAAAATAAGGTCCACTTTAAGAGATTTGCAGCTTGTTAGTTCAAAATCTTCTCCACTCTTTGCAAACGCACTTCTGCACTTTTGCGATTGCTAAATTTGACTGATGATGATAGTGAAAAAAAAATTGGTAAAAGGACGTTTTCCCTCTAAAGTGGTGGTTCTGTGGCTTTGAAGTTTCTTGAATTCTTTATAAAACAATGGACAAGGCTGTACGACTCACTGTTCCAGAAATAGGAACCACAGTTACTCTCCTCTGCCTACCTCTCCTCTCCACTCCATTCAGAAACAGGAAACACAATCCTTCAGTTTCTCTGTTCTGCTTCAGTCTCTCTGGGTAGAGCAGCCCTCGTTTTATCTGTCCTCTCTCACTCACCCTTCTTTCCTTCATTCGATTCTGCCTCCCCCACCCCCCTCTTTTCCCTACTTTGAAAGACCTGATTTTCAGCATGTCTCTGAGGAGCCACACAACAGATGAAATGACACACGGTAGAAAAGACAGAAAATAAAAAGAGGCATTTTGTTGCATGGCCTCCAACTGAATTCCCATGACGTCTTCTCCACAGCACAACACAAGCCCTAGTAGCGGAGCGGCGAAGGGCCGGCATTCGATTACACTTGATGGTTTTACACAGTGACTTCTTTATCTGGTGCTAATCAATTGAATTCATTGTTTCATTGTATTGGCAGATTAAAGCACATAGGTGACACCGCAGGTTATGATCACCTTTAACTTTTACTACTTTTACGTTCATTTCTGTACTTACTATAACGATTCTTTTGCCTATTAACACCATTATTTTGAGACTCAATCGATCCTTAACTATAGCTGCTACTTGCCTAACTCTAACCTTAGCCTTTGAACATGTCTTCATCTTAAAGCTTACCGATTTACTACTTACGTTTTTTAACCATTTGACCATGAACAGGCTTATATTCCTACATCATGCACTCACGCGATATTTAATTGTACCTTGTACCAGCGTAATTTAAAAAGCTGCATAGCGTTCGTAAAATATTTTCATTTTGCTCTGGGAACACTCAGCTTTACTTCTGGAACCAATTTGAACAGCTGTGGTGGAGAGAGAGAGAGCGCGTGAAGGAGAGATATTGGCTATTAGAGTGTGTTTGTGTGTGTGTGTGTAGCAAGTACATTTTTGCTTGCGAATATCAATTGCATCCATTTAACTGGCTGTTTAAGCGCTGTTAGCTTTAAGCACAAGGGCAGCTTCCAGTAAACTGACAAATGCAGCTCTCTCAGATCATTTTCTCTTCATTTACCAGTGGGTGGCCATTGCGGTAATGTAAGCCACAAACTTTGTGTCACAATGCTCTTTGCTCGGCACTAAGCCCGAACCATCGAGAAGTCACAATAACTTCTCTGCCCTCATCCCACCACCACACAGCCATCCAAACTACTGACACACAAACAACACTGACAACTATTCAAGTTTTACGTCTGACTTTTTAAAATTACGCTGGGGATTGTTCTTAAGCAATGGCTGACCATTTGTTATTGGATGTTGTCACAAGAACTATCTCCAGGTAACAAAAAAACAGTTACTATTTTTGAGTAAAAACTAACCATGACTGAGAACTTACACATGTGGTACAGTGGGAAGTTTCAAGTCACTGGCTACCTGCTAGAGGTGGTTTTCATCAATGGAGAAAATCTTAAAAAGGCAACCTGTACTAATTTACTTTAAATATAAATTATTATCTTTTTCTTCAGCTCTTTTAAACTCTTTGCTTCTCCTCCACAGAGAGAGTACGGCCCAGACTGCCGTCTAATTGAACGCATCGAGGAAAACAAGTATAACACCTACGCTTCAGCTCAGTGGCTCAACAAGGACAAGCGCATGTTTGTTGCACTGAACCCCAAGGGAAAGCCAATGAAAGGAAGGAAGACACGAAGGAAAAACCCAGCCACTCACTTCCTGCCTATTTTGTCAGAACAGCGATGACTGGACAAATCAGCAAAGGGAGAGCTCTGCAGATTAAAGGCTATTGGACGTTTTTTGGAGTTGAAGTGATGGCTTCATTGGACAGATTCAAGTCTGAACAGTATGATGCACTGAGGAGGAAAAGAAAGGAAACAAACAGACATTTTATCACAGTTGGATAAAGACATTTCTATTTTTAAAGAAAGAAATAAGATATATCGCTATACAATGTACATATTATTTTCTGTTTTAAGTTATAAAGTACACTGGCACGGTAAAATTATGAAAAGAAATGACTTCTGTGCCAAAATGTGAAACGGTAACTCACATTTTTAGATTTGTGTACGTGTGAAGTCAGTGACTGGGGAAGAAATGGCAAAAGAGAAAACATGGAGGAAAACAGGGGAAGGCAGAGGAAGTATTAGCAGAAAGCTGACTGATAGAAGAAGAAGAAAAGATGAGATGGGTGGAGGAAAATGAAAAAAGGTTGTGTTGTGTTTAGTCAAGTACCAACACAGCAGCAAGTCTAAAACTATCATGTTTCTTCTTTGAATTTATTTATTTTGTGTAATATTTAACAAAAAACCCTACAAAAATACAAAAAAGAAAGTCTTTTTTTTTTTTTTACCATGTATGCTTCTCTTTGAATACTATACATTTAAACCTGAATAAATACAAAGAATATATTTGTCTTTAACCTGTCTGACTGACTTTGGTTATTTTTATTTTCAGCGTGTGATTATTGTTTGTTCTTTTGCAAAATACACAACAAAACATAAAAATAAATGCAAACGTAAAGGATATGATTGAATTTTGACTGATGCAGCCCATTGCTGTAACATATATATTAGCTCATTATTACTAACCATGAAAGCTACAATATCATTTGGTCTGTTCATGTTGTTAGCAAGCCTATATAATTAATCACTTTGAGTGTTTAAGTTTAAGTGGCACTGTTTGAATAGTAAATAATAAGTTTTTAGGTCTGCAAAGCTCAGGTTCAGCTCTAATATAACACAATAAATAACACATAAATGTCTTTAGTTGGATTTTTGCCAGGCAACATGACGGAGTCATAAATCATAATCAAGTTTTGTTTCTATAAATTGTTATTGCTGTAAAAACACATGGTACAATGCTTTTATAAGATATTCTAGGCACATAAACATTACAATTAGGTCATTTTAGTGAGTTAATAAGTGGCTGATAGGCAACAGGATGACGTCACAATACAGTTTGTGATACAGATAAGAACGTAAAATTGAAGTTGTGGGAATATAAATTCAATTGTATAGTTATCAAAATAAAATGATACAATGTTCTAGGTGTATAAAGGGTACAAGTAGGTGATTTTAGCCCATTGGTGGGAGGTTTCTTAGACATGATAATGGCTGATACAATTAAGACACTTCTGGGGCCTAATATGTTTTCTGAACCCATGATTGTGTTTGCAGACAGAGACTTTTATGTACTTTTGCAAGACTGAAACAAATTTTATAGATGAAAGTCAGTGAGTTCAAATAAATTATGCATTTTATAAACCAGTGCACGCCCATGCTAGAGTATTATTTGGCCTGCCCATGCTATTGGATAACTGATATACTTCATAACACTGAGAAAATTCCAAAAACTAGATTGGGTAGCTGTTGTTTGCATATTTCTATACAGCAAAATCAAATTACTTCTATATATAATTAAGGGATTATTAAACCATTCACTGTCCACTCTCATTAATAAAAAATAATTGGTATGCTTGATATTGTTCTATTAATTTTATACCCATATAACACAAGAAGATGTAATAACTTTTTAATTATATTATGTTTCCATACGTGCCTTATGGGCTACCTGCATATTTTAAAAACATGTACCTAAAAAAATGTTTATATAATGATATGCTAGGGAAAAAGGGTGATTTTGTAGGCTGAATTAATTAACTACAAATCCCACTTTCATTTCCACAGCTATTTATCAGACAGTAAGCTTCTCATATACTAGCTACTATATAATTGGATTTTAATCAGTCAGTCACATGGTGGTGTCATATCACAGATATCTTAATATTCAACAGTTTTTATATAAATTAGATATTATTGTGTAATTTAAATAGATGCTATAATGTTTTCTGAGGTGCATAAATCCTAAAATCTTGGGATTTTCAGCTGTTGCAAGGTGATTACCAGGCAACATAATGGCTTTCAGGTGTTCAGTACCTACGTTATTTTGCGAAAGTCTTTATTCACACATGTGAACATTGCATCATTTCAACTATTCTTTCCAATCAACGTTCTCACTCCCAAAGCGTAACATTTTACGCTAGGCGACAAATCGTCAACATATTACGTTTTCGGCTACCCACCACGTTCCTAAATGACGACCTCGGAAAAAAGAGGAAATATGAGAACCGTCTGGACTGAATCTACACATGTTCGCTCTTTTTCTTCAAATTGCTTAGAAACACGCTATTTAACATCATTATAGTCCTGGTTAAGATCAGGAATAAGGTTAGGTTTAGGGCTGGAATACAGGGCTGGAATGTCTATTACCGCAGGAGCGTCATTGCACTGGATTCCAGCCATAACCCGCTGCGTACCATAAGAACGCCGAAGGTCTCCTTTCGCGTTCCTCAGGAACGCCGCGGGACGTGACAAAACGTCGACATGTTACGCCTCGGGAGTGAGAATGGGCTGTTCCAAAAGGTTCAGGAGTGCATTTATGGGATCTTTTGATTCTTCCAAAAGCTATTTTGGACAAGAACGCCTGGCTCGTAGTCTCTGCTCTAATTCATCCCAAAGTAGTTCTATCAGGTTGAGCTCAGGACTCTGTGCAGGCCAGTCAAGTCCTTCCACACCAAACTTGCCCATGCATGTTTTTATGTCCAAAATATCTTGATATGTAAAAGCATTAAGAATTCATTTTACTGGATCTAAGGAGGCGAGTCCAACTCCTGAAAACCAACCCCCCACCATAATCCCCCCTCCACCAAACTTGACACTTGGCACAATGCAGTCAGACAAGTACTGTTTTGCTGGCAATGGCCAAACGCAGACTCCTCCATCAGATTGCCTGACAGAGAAAAGTGATTTGTCACACCAGAGAACACATCTCCACCACGCTAGACTCCAGTGGAGGTGTGCTTTACACCACTACATCCAATGCTTTCCATTACGATTAGTGATGTTAGGCTTGGATGCAGCACCTCTGCCATGATAACCCATTCCATGAAGCTCTCTATGCACTGTTCTTAAGATAATCTGAAGGCCACATGAAGTTTGGAGGTCTTTAGAGATTGACTCTGCAGAAATGTGTGACCTCTGCATGCTATGTGCTGACCCTGCTTTGTGACTGAGTTGCTGTTGTTCCCAACTGCTTACTCTTTGTTATAACACCACTTACAGTTGACTGTGGAATATTTAGTAGTGAGGAAACTTTATGACAGGACTTGTTGCACAGGTGTCACACTGGAATTCACCGAGCTCCTTAGAGCGGCCCAGTCTTTCACAAATGTCTGTAGAAGCAGTCAGCATGCCCAGGTGCTTTATTTTATACACCTGTTCTGTGGAAGTGATTGGTACACCTGAATTCAATCATTTGGATGGGTGATTGAGTACTTTTGGCAATAAAGTGTTTATGCCAGGGTTGGTTTCTGAGCTTCCTGTGTGAGTGTAGGAGGAGTTTCTGGGCAGAGAGTTTTGGTGTATCATAGTAAGATAAACATGGTGCTCTGTGGACTTTACATGGCTGGAGCTTTCAGTGATTAAACAGTTTGATGTCGAAAGCTTCACAGCTGACGAATCCATCATGAGATGCTTTTTGAAGTCAATATTTCAGAGATCAAGAAGCGCAGCATTTCATGACTAAGTGAGACAATACTTGACTGGAGTCTGCCAAAATAATGAGGGTTTGTAACAAACAAGAGTAAGCCACTGGAGGGCTTTTAAATCCAAGGCGTGAATCGGGAATCTGTAAGAGATTAGGATTTTGAAGTGAAGCCCAGGAGACAACCTGCCTGATTGGCTCAGGGGTTTTCGTTTCTCACTGCAAAATCTTCTGCCTTACAAGTTCATATGGCAAACATGGCTTCCTGGAGGATAAACACTGTCTTTTATGTAATAACAACAAAGACAAAACAGGCTTTAGAAATGGACGACACACTTGGGCGGCTGAGCAGGGGCGTGTGTGTGCATCAGTGTGGTCTAGCAGCTGGGAAAAGCCTCCTCTTGACCTTACGTGTCTGAAACCTGTTACTGTATCCCTCGAGACAGAAAGACACATGTAGCGGGGCATATGGTATAACGTAAATATCACTCCATTGTTTATCACCTGATTCTAATTAACTATGATCTCATGTTTTCTTTATGCTTCTTTTGCTTTCCCTCACTTTTTCTTTAACTTGTTCTCTCGTGTTGTTGCTGTCTGGGTCCTGCGATTTTCCCTCAAATTCATCTTTTTATTTTTTAGAAAGTTTTTTAAACGTAAGTCATGCCTCGGTAAGGCTGAGGTGCAGGATCAAACATAGAACAAACACACACACATGCACACATGCAGTCTCCTTGTCCCCGGGCCTGCAGCAGTTCTAATTTGTACATTGCATCCATCACTTTCAGCCCTCTGCCATCTGTTTTTGTGTGTGTGTGTAAGTTAATTTGTGAGTATGAAGGAATCCACCGGAGTCCGTCCATCCCACTGTGTTTATCACTAAAAAGGTCCCCGATCCTCTTATTGTGCTCAGGAATCCCTCGCCGTCTCACACTCATGTCAAAAAATGAGTAAGTATGATACATCAGTGGGAGATTCAGATTTCCTTTCATCCTCCCAGGGCATCTAGTCTTTTGTTTATATGATTACTTGGGTGTTCTCTAAACGACATATCAAGTACAATTACTTTGAAATGTGTTCAAGACACCGATACCCCTCCTCTTTTCCCCCTTTCGCCCTCCCTCATAAAGTTCAAGGGCTGGCATTCCCAGGCCAAGATGTCTTTATTATTTGGTGGGACAGCTTCAGAGATGTAAAACATCTCATTTAAGTCCATATTTGAACAAGGAAACCTGGACTGGAACTTGGATATCTGACACAAATTTGTACACTTCTTCATTCAGAGAACCTGGAATCGAGTCCGCATATATAACATGTGTAGACCTCTTGGAAGAGAGCTTGATGTATTTTTATTGCAACTCTAACATGACTTAATGCGCTCTTGCCTTTGCCCGTAATGCATAACGAGGCTAGACTTTAAAAGCGAGGCATTTATTCAAGACAGATGTTTCACACTGATTATAAACCTCAGTGATATCTCAGTTACTGTGTTCAGCGGCACCAAGCCACGTATCGTTTCTCCTATTTCTGCAGTGCGCCTGACATGTTTCTAAAAGCTGTTTGCAGTGTCATTTTTTCAGTGTTGTACTTGGGTATGTTTGGTTAGAGCTTGGTTTGTTGAGGCATGTGGCGAGGCTCAGTATGCGGTTTCTGTTTTGACTACATCGGGATCTATCGGACCTGTGTCGAACCTCAAATGAAACGTACACCATCGGCTTCACACGTTCACAGCTCCTCTGTTTGCTCAGAGAGTCTTGTGGCTGTGCTACCTGACCGCAGCAGCAGCTGTGAATATTTTACATCCTGGTGAGACCGAGAGAGAAAGAGGGAGGAAGAGAGGGGTTGCAAGCTCGGAATCGGA